TGCGGAAAGGCTGATGTCGCTAATTAATCTTTCCGCTCTCAAAATATCGTCGGGGGGGCGGGACGGGATTTTTTTTGGTGAAGCTTTGCCCGTGTAGTTCTCTCACGGGCCAATACAGGCTGGCCGTGTTCCTGCCCTGAGCTGATGAGGCACCTTGTAGCTCCCCGGAGGCGGCTCTGGCTGACTCGGGCCTCCGGCTGGCCTGGAGCAGGGAGGCAGCAAGCTCGGCCCTCTGTGGTCCCCTGCACAGGCCAAGCACCCTGCGGGAGCCGTTTCCCCGGTTGTGATTAGGCTGATGGCTGGTTGAACGTAATATATCAACAACGTTAATGTGATAACACTGTCTGGGAGCAACAGTACAGTTCTTTACATAAAGACCTGGGGAAAAATAAGAGTATTTGGTTGAACACATGATTTCTTTCCATCTATGGTTATCTTCAGGATTATGAAATTCTCAGGGCCTAATCCTCTAATCCTTGTGAGTGCATGTCATCCTTAGTCATGCCAGTAATACCACTTCTCTCATTCCAAGTTGTTATTGCTCCTAGGTGTATCCAATCTCCTGTGAAATGTTGAAAGGCAAACCTTCTGAAGAAGTCAAGATGAAATACCTCTGCTTTTGCCCAAGCAGAGAGGAATGGGAAGCAGTATGTGTGGTATGTGAAGTGGAGGTGTACCTATTGGTTGCAAGTAAGCATGCATTTGATCTGAAAATTGTACACATTAAGCCCAGGAAAACTGTGGGTGCGTGAACAACTCATTAATCAGTCTGGTTATTTCAGTGAACTAATTTGCAAACCTACTGCAAGGTGGCTGCGGGAGAAAACACTGCTGCACAAATGCATGAATTCTTACTACTTGATAAGAAAAATAAAAGACTGCCTGGAATGTAATAGAATTTCAAATTGCAGTTGAGCCAAAATCTAGTGCTGGGCTAATGAGCATTATGCTCTCAAGTTATTAGGCTGACTTGAAATGTTTAGGATAAACTTGGGATGAACTAAAGCGTCGCCTCAAAGAGCAAGAGGAATGGGAACAAAGAAAAGTGGTGCGCTCTTCCTTAATGGAAAGAAAAGGGAGGAGTTAGTCTGAACACTTTGTAGTTGCTCATCTCCCCTGTATTTGCTATGAGACAAAGCTCAGGCCTCACAAGAGTGAATGTGTCTAATGTTGCAGACTGATGAAGGGCTCTAATGGAAATGTGGGGCAGTTAGGAGCAATAAAAGGTTTCAAAGAGCTTGTAGATTGCAACTTCTTCATCTGTTATCTCTTCTTGCATTAAATGGAATCTGCCTGTGGTAGAAAAATGACAATTAGCTTAAAGACTGGTTCTAACATAACATATTTGGACCTTGCAAATATCCAAATTCAATTGCAGATTTGCTTGAATGAAGAAGACGAAAGAATACGATGACCGTGTGAGAAGTTGCACATCACCACATCCCATTGAAATAGCTGCCTGTTGATGATAGCTAAAGGATTTCCCTTTCGAAAACTCTGCATTATATGAGAATTATAGTACTTAATTGTATCAGATAAAATATTAATTAGAGCTTCTAGCTGTTACTGAAGCTCGTGTCTGAAATAAGTTGTTTATGTTAATGCATATTAGCAGGACTTATCACCACCAACAGGATGTTATTGGAGAAACAAAGCAAACAGAAGTGGGTGGTGTTTAATAACTTTCCTAGAGGTGGCAGTACTTGACTAGAAGCCAGGAATCCAGTGCCCCGTGCTGGCTTATTGTCTCCTGATAATTAAAATGGTAATGCAAACTGTAAGTCCTCTGTGCAGTTTGAACATTGAATTGACCTAACCCTAGAGTATCCACTGTGTGGAGAGGAAGGGGGCAATGAGAAGGGAAGATGGCCTTACGTTTGCTAAGCTGTCGCACGCTCTCAGAAGAGCAACGATCGGATCATGTTACGACCACAGCAGAGCTTGCAAGAACTCTTCTGTATGCGTGTATCTGCCAGTAGAACAGACTGCAAGGATTTAACTTACCGCTACTACACTTCAGTTCAAAATCCAGCCTAAACTTAGGAGGCTTATGGCAGAAATAAAAATCTATTTTTTCACTAAGTTGTATGTGAAGGATGTGTACAGCCCTTGGTCGTGTGCCAGCGGTGGGTACTGAAGAAGCTCCAGCCCTGGCATTTGTTGGGAGCTGAAACTGCAGGTCTGTTCTGGGGAAGAACACAAAGGGATGTGAAACTTGAGGTTGCGCTATGCCGACAGGTGCCTTCCGTATTGGCATCGCCACTAGATGTCAGTGCATGAAACCACTTCTTCACGCTGAGCAAGCTGGCGAAATTGGGAATCGGCTTGGGAAGAGAGGGAGCTATTTCTTCGGGGTGCAAAACTGGTGTAGCTTCTGCTTATAAGGATCTCCACTGGGGTTAAGCTCCCTTTAATAAGGTTCTTCAGACAGACTTGCAGTCTCTTAGCTCTGTCAGAATTTTCCAAGTAGGAAATCGGGAATTTTCTGATGCTACACCAGAAGAAAGTTTAGCAAGTGCTTGATGACTTGAAATTTCATTTTAAATCACTCAAAAGTGATTTTTGGTTTTTAAATCCTTGGTTATTGAATATACGTAGGTGCTAGATTGCCACTGATGTCAGCAGAGTTAGCTACCTGAAATCCCTTGGCCCTGAAGATCTCACTGAATCTGTTGAAATCTCTAGGCCTTTAGCCTCGCTTTGGAACTTAGGCGTAGGTACATTCACTGTTGTATTTAAAAAAATGAAGACAACCTCTTGCTGAATCTTAGAAAATACAGGCAATGAAAAGGGAATTTTCACCAAAACCAATCTGCATAAACAGGTACAGGCATCAATAGGTTGAAATTAGGTTTAAAACTCTAGCCTCCTGCCTTGGTTCCCACTTGCTCTGGAGACATGGCATTGAGTGAGCTGCCTGCAGGATCTTAATATAGCCATCACTTATGTTAGTGATAATATAAAGTAGGCTTGCTTATGTAGGAATTGTTAAGAAGCAGAAGCAATGCTTGTAAAGTACTTCAGGTTTTTCAGTTGCTAAGTGCTTTGTAAATGTTAAAGCATTCACTTTAATTGCTCTGTGCGTTACTTGCTATGATGCAGAACTACTTTACCTACTTAAGCGTGTTTTAAGGCAAGTGAGAGAAAAGCTATATAATGAAAAAACACTATAAAAATATCTGAAGTGCTATACTTGAATAAATCTTACTTGCTTTTAGGTATCATCTGAGTCCAGCTCTGGGGCCTAGAGTTAGAGAAAGACTAGGATAATGATGAAGTGCTGCAAAAATCCAGAGCACTGTTATACAGATATGAAGATCCAGGACGGCTGCTTCTTTCACTTTCACGTCTTCAGAAGGTGAGTAGAGGTGGCTTCCCCCTGGTTTGGGTTCCAGCTTAATATTTTTAAATGTTTGGTTTTTAGGTGTGGTAGGTCTGGGCAATAAGAGCAGCATCAGAGAACCTCTTGACCCAAGCACATAAAAGTTGAAGAATTCCTGATCCGATCTGATGTGTCTTAAAGACCCATATGGGAGTGGGTCACTGTCTCTCACAAGGGCACTTTAACTATAGAATAACTGAGGGCCAGCTGCTGTTTGCTGGCTGTATTTTTGGACATATATTTTGGACAACGCAACCTGATCTGCATTGGCCTGGCTCTGAGCGGGGGTTGGAGCCTAAATTATTCTGACTGTCACTAGCTGAGAAGCTTGAACTTGGTTCTTGACAAAGTATAGTCAGTGCTGCGCAAACAGGTTAAATGCAGATACGTGTATACAAGTGGTAGAAGGTGCTGGGCATGGAATTTAACGTGGTAGAAAATCTGCTGTGGAACCTGGGCTAGCAACGAGCTTGGCCCTGGTTTTTTGAGTCTTGACTTGTGTTTACAGCTGAAGAGGCCAGCTCTCCAGCGGGCCTTGGTACACTTCAGAAGCAAACCCAACAGCAACGAATGTATTTGATTCAGACAATCGTAGTGCTGAAGCTAGTCTAGCCTGTGGGATTTATTTCCAGATTGGCATAGTATTTTTTACTTTCACGTAAAAAAAACCCAACCAACTCATCAGCTGTTGCACATCAGGAGGACTCCAGTTTTGAGAGGATGTGTTTGCAGACAGTTCAGCAAACAGCTGGGGGAGGTGTGTGCTTATTTTTTTTTTTAAAGCCTGAAGCTGGTTTAGATTTGAATGGATACTGAGTTGTAGCATAAATAGTCACAGAAACCCCTGTATAGAGAGTTGTGGCCATGTACCATGCACTGAGCTGAAGTCTTGCAGAACACAACTAGCTGTAGATGGATAGGGGTGTTTCAGTAAACTTGAACAGAATTCATGCACTCGCTCTTTCCCCGGGGCTCTGGCATGCAGACATCTGAGCGGAGTCTGTGTTTTCTGGCATCAGGAGCAAGGTCAATCCAGTTTGGCCCACATCTTTTTTTTTTGTAATTGTAATGGAAAAAAGACCCAGTCTGAGTTTTGCTGAAAGCAGAAGTTTTTCACTTAGTTACAGCTGAATATAGCCACACTTCCTGGTTCCCTCCCTCCCCTGGGTCTCGTAGTATAATCTAATTATTAAATCATTGCAATAAAAGTACGTTTTGCCCTGGCAGGACTAAACTCTATTGATAGTCCAGATATTTTTATGCCATCCTTGTCCTGCTCCTGCCAAAATGGGTTATTTTTTGGATTCTCTTGTCTGCCTTTGGATTTGTGATCTGCTCCTTTAATACATTCCTTCCAGTCTAGGCAGTGCTCTCCAACTGCCTGGCACTGATGTTAATGCCTTGCTTCCTAATCAATCAAGTCGGCTGCATGCTTCCTTAAAGGAAAACTCTGCTCATGTTGTTCAGCCCAATGACACAAACTTTCACAGGTGTAAGAAACATTTGTCACTAAAAATGACACTGATGTGGGAAGTAAAGGTGAAACTTTATCCTGTTTGGCATTTCTGAGCCCATCCTGTGGGCAGTTCTTTTTCATAAAACTGACTGTGGTACTGTGGGCAACTAGCCACAGACTTTGCAGCTCAGTTTCCAGCTGACATGAATATCTTGATTGTAGTAAGAACTTTGGGGATATTAAGAACAGGTTATATGTGACTACAGTAGGGACAGAATTTGTCTTTGCTTGCTCCACTAATTAAAGAGTGGTCCCTAATCACCATGTTCTGTGCCTCAGGTAGTTGCCTGCAGTAGTGGAGGTAGAGGGATAATTTAGGATGTGCCTACTGTCTAGATCCAGAGTGAAAATAGGAGGCAGGTGACAGAGAAACCAAATGTCACCCCAAACTAAAGGGTGGAGTATACCTGGAGGCTCAGCCAAAGGTCAAGAAAATAAGCGACCTTAAGACAAGGAGTGAGAGAAGATTGTAGTAAGACAAGGTGGAAGTAAGAACCGGAGCCTGGCAAAACGGTTTTGACAACAACAAACTACTACCAGTTTGGTACATTGAGCAATACCATTGCTGGGATGGCCTGATTTACTCTGATATCAAATATGTATCAATTTGGCTTCTCCTCTGTTTAGGCAGGTTTATCTTTCCCTTAGTTTCCTAGGAGACTGATTAGCTCTGCCTTAAAACTGAAGGAGCCAAAGAAACACCAAACTGAATGCAAATTGCCAATGGAGAATGGGAGGATATATCTGGAGGAAGCATATCACAGGATGGGAGCAGTAGCTTTTACACCAGTTTGTATTATGCGATATGATCGCTGTCCTTTATACCTCTAATTAGAAAAAAACATATTGTCTTACTTGGAGAAATTTGTCAGGTAAGTAAAGGTTGGGGTGAGCAATGTTACTGCTTTCTGGGGACTTGTGTCCTGTTAGAAGTGCGCTGCTGCAAAATGGCTGTTCCTAGGATAAGGTTTATGTGCCAGCTGGAACTGCTGATTTCCTTTGAAACTCCTGGTTTTGTAATTATTCATGGCAAAAAAAAAAAGTTTCTTCCCATATGAACTTCTGGCTTGCTGAGTTCTGAGGTGAGCCAAGTAGGTTATTTTCTTCAGCGTCTGCATTTTTTCCTAATTACATTGTGCCAGTTGTTACCACACAGTTTTATTTACCTGTGCTTCCAAATTCGTAAGTTCCATGTTCTGGAAAAGTTCAGCAGCACTTCTTGGGGAGCTTGTCTTGGGACTGCCTTGTATCTGTGAGGGAATAATATTCTTGTGCCAAATACAGCCCTTTATGTAAACTTTTTTCCTATATCGTGTTTCTGGCACTTTCTAATCTAATTTGGTTTCAGGAAATAGAAAGGTAGTGCTGCGTGACTGAGCTGCCGTGCTTTGCCAGATGGTAGCTGATGGGTGAACTAGAGCTCTAATCGCCGACACTCTTCTGTGCAAACTGAGAAACCGTGGGTTTGCCTATCCTAACAACATAAAGGTTCCTTTAACACACATTCTCCTAAGCAAGCTGTCATTCCTTAATGGTGAACGTTTTGCATCTAATGCAGCCCGTATTATTCCACAAAATCTTACGAAGTCTCTGATGTTGGCTAACTCCCGAATCCATGTGGTTGGGCATGGTAGGAGAAACAAGATCCTCTCTTCGGATGAGATAAGTGGGATCCGCCGGCATAGATCAGAAGTCCTGGTGTCCCCTAGATGTCCTGTATCTCGCTGCAGACAACCTTTGTGTGTCACATTGAACTTTCAAATGCCAGCTCCTGCAGAGATGCACGGCCTGGCACAAAGCAGGGGATTGCTCTGAATGCCATCAGCACTAATGGTGATGTAAAAGAAAATTGGAAATCACGTTCCCAAACTTCTCCAAGTGTACGATGAAAGGATGCCAAAGAGTGTAATAAACTTCGTCCCTGCTGTGTCTGTTTTCCAGCAGGAGAAGCTGCAGGGTCACAGCAGTGGGATGATCAGATGGCTCTTGTAGTGGGTAGAAGGAACCCAAGCAGCAGCGGAGGATGTTGCAGCAGCAGGTATGAGACATGCTTTATTATGGCTGTAATTTTGAGTCCCTTGCCTGTTTTGAATTGATTTGTCGGTACTTGACTGACTTGCTCTCCTTGGTCTCCTCGTATCCATTTACATGCTTTATTACGATGCTGGCAGCGCTGGACATCAGTGTTTACTTTTAAGTGCGCTCTTTCTGGTATATTGATGATTCATACTATTAGGAGAGGCTTCCTGCTTTTCCATGACTTAGTGAAAATGATCTATTTCATAATGTCTCCTTACTCTTAGCAGGGCTTGTGCTCTGTTCCCAGAACTCCCACTGTTTTCACTGCAAGCATGACCAGACTGTGAAATAGCTTGGCTGGTCTGGTGAATAAGCTGTTAGTCTCTTTTAATAAACTGCAGTTTTATTTATCTTGCTGCTCTTTAGAGCTTTTCATCTCAAAACATTGGAGTGCAGAAGCTGTCCAGTAGTGAAATGCAGCCATCTCTCTTGGGGCTAGAGTGGGAGGCAGACAGGCAGGCATTTTACTCCACAGTTTGGAGTGAGAGGAATTTTGTTCAAGGACAATGAGGGAAAGCTTAGCTTGTGTGCTGAATGACCCTTTGATCTTCCACGTTCATGCTCAGCTGATCAGGACTTTAAATCTAAGCTCTGTCTCCCTCCTACCCATAGCAAACAGCCAGAAATATAATCTCATCTAGGACTTGAGCACTGGACCAGAATGACAGGACTGCAGTGGTGAGTGTTGGGCCTTACCTGTCTCCTGTTTGCCTGTCACTTCCTCAAGTGACGCTGACATGAAGCTAAAGAATGGTGGGTAGCAGTTCTGGGATGTGTAGTGGGGTGTACTCAGAGGTCCAACGGGGAAGGGAAGGCCAAGCCTGTGACACAGAACTATTCTCCTGCGTGCCTGTAAATACTGAGGAACTGGACAGTGCTGTAGTGTTAAAAGGTGACTTTCTGGAACACACTGAATAGGTCGGTCCATAGCCATGAGGTGCATTGGATGATTCTGAAGCTTTGGGGTGTTTGCTAATTGTGATGAAATGACTGGCTTTCTGAGGCTCTGAAAACTGAGAATGGTTAATTGGTGGTGTGGTAGGTCAGCTCTCCTTCTGTGCAAGGAGAGAAGGCCACAGAAACTGCTGCGGCAGAAGCAATGGAAACGAGCAGGCAGAGTACGATGAGAAGTTGGATCCTTGAGCAATTGTAAAAGATTGTGTTACTTCTGCTACTATGCAGCACATCATTAGGAACCTTAATTACGGGGAGATGACTGCATTGCGTAGGCTAGAGTGTAGCCTGCAGGAATGTAGGAACTTTAATTTTATAACGCTTACTCTGTGGTGTGTGTCTCTGTTGGGGAAGGATACAGAAAGGCCTGTTCTTGTTGCAAATGAAACAAACTTGGCTGGCTGATAAAGTGCAACTCATCTGAGCTAGAATGGCTGTAGCCCATTTGATAGGTAACAGCTGGTGCTTTCTTGCCTCTTCCTACATATTAAAGCAAAATGTGGGTTTTTAAACCCTGAGGGAAGCATTTGGTGAAAGCAGAACTTGGACTTGAGACGGCGTGGTGCTTAGCTTAGTTGTGCCGATCCACTTCATTTTTTTTTTTTTTTCCAGTATTCCTTGCTATATTTATAACATGAGATACGGTGAGAACAACCAGAGGCACAGCTGTGTGACCTCCTTTATGCTAAAACAAAACAGCACAGAGGAGTGAGTATTTTTAGTTTGTTCCAGCTGTGGGTATTGGGTTCAAATCATGGTGCCTTTAAAAAGACAGCGTGGCAGAGAAACTGAAAGGTGAATTTGAATTTCTAGGTTGGAAAGACTGACTCTGAAGGGTTCCTAGAAAAGTTGAGCTACCAGTCTGTCAGTGAAAAAAGAATATGGTCAAAACTCCTCTATTTGGCATTTATAACTACTTTTCATTTCAGTTTTATGTTCTCCTGAACACCTGTACTTTGGTAGTTCCTTCTCCATTTCTGTTTCTTGCATTTCATTTCCTGTTTCTTTGCTAATACCTACTATGGACCTTAGGAAGGAAATATTTTCAGGAAGAGTGTCTTTGACTTGTAGAAATGTCTGTGTACAGAGCAGCAGCGAGGTTTCAAAGATCAGCTAGGTATGGTTTTACCTTGTTTCTGCAGTGGGAGCGGGGGTGAGAAGAACTGTTAGGAGAACAGACGCTTGAGGACCCTTGTTTAGTTTAAAACTTAACTTTAGGTTGAAAGATTGTAAGTGAACAGAGAAATACTTGAACTGTCTTCTGGTGAGTGCTGTTAACTCTCAGAAATGCCCCTAACGCTGCCGCTGTTCTGGAATGTTCCCCTGCCCTTAGGACAGTCCTGAGCAGAGATCATTGTGCCTCCTTGCGTGACTGAGTTTCCACCTTATCAGACATCTCGCAGCACTCCTTGCTAGAAGAGATAGGGATGATTGGTTTGATGGGTGGCATTTTGTTTGTTTACTAAGATCTAATAACCAAAGCTGTGGTCTGTCTCATCTTTGCTTCCATCAGGAGGTACGTTCTGTCTTTTCCTTCGGTAACTGCAGTATTGCAATATATGCCACCTCTTTCCCCCCCCCACCCCCCAGGATTTTTCTAGAAGCGAGAGGATGGCACTGTCTAGTTTCCCATCTGTTGCCTGATGACGTGCAAATAGAAACAGCCGGCCTTGTGAGCGGAGAGATACAGGAAGAAGATGGGGAGTGCTGCTCTGCCGCGATAGCCACCGGGGGAGACCAACTGTCTGCTGCTGTCACAACCTCTCCTCTCCGGAGAGGCTGGCACGAAGCCCGGGCTCCTTTGCCACCTCATGCCTTTTCCCCCCTCTTCTTATCTAGCCGTGCCACAGCTTCCCAGGCTCCTGGGTTAGATAGATCAGCCCCACCCTTTTCACTTGGATAGATGCTTCCTTTCCCTAAACCCACATAGCTGCGTCCGTCTGGAGGCAGAATATAGGCCTGGACCCGCAGCAGGTAGACTCTGCTTGGAGGTTTAGTCGAGGTACGGCGAGTGGAAAGGGTGAAACATAATGGCCTTTATTTGAGGACTAGTTAGTCTAAAAATATGTTTTAGGGAACTAAAATGAGGGAAAGAAGCCTGCATGTCGTGATTTCTTTTCAAGAAATCAAACACCATGGTATAATTATAAGGTTTAAATGGAAGACGTGATCAGAAATGGTGCTTGAGGAACGGGAGGTCAGAGGATGGTGAATGACGGGCTGCTGAGAGCCCTGGGCAGGGGGAAGGACCTTTTCCTCTGCACCTGCGGGGTGTGAGACTGCAGGGACAAATGGAGGTGAGGCACTGTGGAGGAGCCTAATCTTGAAAAAGGCCGTGGGGGCAGATTCCCAAACACGTAGCACTGGAAAAAACGGTATCTTTAGTACTTATGGTTTCAACTTTGCCTTCCCCAAATCCTGAGCGTTCCACTTTTCCTGCGGCCCTATCCAGAGCTTTCACTTTGTCCTTCCTGAGGCCGTGTTCCCCCGCAGCCTGCTTTCTGGGTCTGTGTTCTCAGGTCTGCATCCCTCTCGTGTAAGTAGCGGTCGATTCCTGCGGGCGACATGAGATGGCAGGCAGCGGAAGGAACAGAAGTTCTCTGGAAATAAGAGCTCAGCAAAGCTCTCCTGAGTCAAGGGCACGTGGCGGTGGGAAAGACGGGGAAGCAGAGGAGGAGGGTCCTCGTCCGACTGCCATTGAAGCTGGCGTTCGCAAGGGTCAGATCCTGCGAGTCACGTCCTGGGCACAAAAGGCCCAACGCGAGCGGCGAGGCCGGGTGCCCTCGTCCTGCCCGGCCTGCGCCCGACGGAACTACTCGTGCTGTACGACCAGCACATGCAGCGTCAACGCTCCATGTCTGTGCTCCTTTTTCCAGCTATGCGTTTTTTTTTAACAACCTTAATTCGGCCTGGGGGGGGGGTGTGTGTTGTGGTGTGAGATACCTTGAATTTCAGGTGTCCGAGGGGTGCACAAAACTGGACTCGCGGTGGGGTTTTCCACAACAGGTTTTTCTAGTTCAAAGGCAAACAGCAGCTGCCGTCTTCGCGGTGCTCGGAGCTCCGGCAGAAACAGCCCCAAAAGCTTAAAAAAGGCTCCGCTTCTGTCAGACGGGGGGGGGGAGCGTGGCTCGGGGCTCGGTGCCCCGTCCTGCTGGGAGCCTGCGGTACGATCTTGACTGTTTTTAAGCTTTTTTGCTTCTTTCTGCCTTTCTCCTTCC